TCTCTCTCTCTCTCTCTCTCTCTCTCTCTCTCTCTCTGTGTGTGTGTGTGTGTGTGTGTGTGTGTGTGTGTGTGTGTGCGTGTGTGTGTGTGTGTGTGTGTGTGTGTGTGAGAGAGAGCGTGTCGTTGTCGTCGCGTAGGGTCTCTCCCCTGGTTTGATGTGGCAGCTTGCCTTCGGCTGCTACTGAGACTGGCCCTACACGCCCTTAATGTGTTCCTCTGCCAGCTCGGAATGATCCCTACACGGCTCAATTCCCGCCCGTCGATCCCGATTCGTCCGACGTCCCCTTTTGATTGTTATGCTCATGAATCAGCCCTCCTGCAGCCCATGTCCCATTGGGTATCCTCTCCCCCCCCCTCTTCTTTTTTTTTCTTTCCCTGCGATGTTACAGGTTATCGGCATCCAACACGAACAGACGGTCCCGAGCGGCACAAACAAGTTGACGTTTCAGATTGCCGACATGCACTGGGTGTAGACCATGACCTCAAACAGAAAAGGGTTCAGCTTTCACGGAGTCTTCCTTCCCTTCTTCCTCCCTATCTTACTGGCACTACAGATCACCCCTGCAAAAACGACCTCTGAAGACAATGTATTTGGTCGCGCGCATCTTCGACCTCTCGCTTCTTTTTCTCCCTGTCCTCCTTCTTCTCTCTCTCTCTTTCCCTCTCACACGCTCACACACACACACACACACACACACGCACACACTGGTGTCGATCTCGATGGCCGCAGCCTTGTCCGTGTTGCAACTCTGTGTAGCTCCCCCTTCGATCCTGCGAGAGCACCCCCACTTCCCCCAACGCTGCCAACTCCGCTTCTCGTACTCTCCTCCTTCCGCGCACATCGACACGGCTCACGGTCGAAATCCTCTCTCTCTCTCCCTCTCTTTCTTGCGCACTCTCTCCCTGAGTGTTGCATACTGTAACGTGCAGACCAGAACAAGAACTGACCTTTCAATACAAAGTACAAGATAACACAGCGGAAGACTTAGATACCAGTGATCCGAACAATCAATGTTGTAATGCAGCCCTTAACATACATCATCATCATTGTTACATGGTGTGAATGGGTCTGGCGCTTCACAGAGGAAGACAGCGCCAGCCCATACCATACACAGACGAAGAGGAGGGGGAAGATGGGAATGTCGTCAACACCAAGTCTTCGGCACAAGCCCAAATAGTCCCTCGTGGAAATGTTTGAATCCCAAATGTCAAGTCTGGATCCAATGTCGTCAAGTCTCAAGTCACAACTCTGTCTCTCTCTGTCGTAGTCTGAGAAGTCAGG